GTAGAGATGTGGGTCTATACATATGTTGTTCATAGTATGTTTAGATGTGTGTCATGTATATGTTTTACTTTGAGAACGGGCAACTAAATTTCATTTTTGATGTATGCCATTGTACTCACAGTATAAAAATGACAATAAAGGTTATCTTATCTTATCAGATAATGGGTGCCTGCCTGCCCGCAAAATCAGGGCATCCAGAAGCTTCCAGGCTCTGGGCAAAAAGTGTTTGCATGCCAACAGGAGGTTTAAAGCAATGTGATTTGGTTGTCCCAAACCTGTGTTCGGTGTGCAAACATTTTTCTGCGCCAAGTCTGAAGCTGTGGGAAGTGACTCACCGAGGCGGCCCGCTACTCCAGAAGTGGTTGGCAGCTCAATGAGTCACAGAAGCCAAGCAGGACGCACTCGTCTTGGTCTCCCTCTGCTCTCGTAGGAGCAGACAAAGAAACTGGCTGGAGAGGAGACAGATCTTCACAAGATAAGTGATCCGGCAAGCTGGATGGGAGGGAGCAATTGTGGGCACTCCAGGGGAGGGAGAATGAGGTATTTCAGTGGGTCAGGGGAGGCTTTGGGTGGTCTGAAGCAGGTGGCCTGTTCCATCACTAGGCCTCCCCATGGCGTTCCCCACCCTGAGATACCTCATGTTCACTAAACGAGCCACACATTCGCCCACTCATTAAATTAGCGAATGTGTGGGCAAAAGCAGGGAGTGATTGCATTCAAGCCATGAGATTCATTCCTACAAATCCTCAAGTTATGAATGGAATGGGCAGGCTCCATTACATTCGTAATTTGAGGACTACCTGTATTTCTAATCTTAACTTCTAATCTTTGGCTCTTTTGAAGATTTTTGAGTAATCTTTCTTATCCTTCCCATCTATCTTATCTTTTCTCTGTTTCCCTCAGATCTGCTAAGCTGAATTATTTATCAAGTCTATACTATATATGCTATACATGCCCAAGTATGTGAGTTTCTGCTTGCTAATCTTCATCTCAACAGAGCAATCCATCTTTATTTCTGCCATGGCTCCTCTTATTTGATCCATGTTATTTTTAGTGGAAGGATCAAATGAGATAGATAGCTATAGATAGACCTTACAACCATTCATTCAGTAACCATTCAAAATTATGACAGCACTGAAGGAACACACAACCTATACTTTAAAATTATGGCCACCTTACTTGCCTGCAGTCACATGGAACAAAATTTGGCAATTCACCCATCTTATCAACCACAGGGATGCTGAAACTGCCCCCACCTATATATCTTCTCCTTCATCTTACCCACTGGGTCTATTAGGCCTATCTTTCAGCTAGCTATGTGTCACAGGCCTGCTTCCCACCCAATTGGATCCCACAACCTTGGACCTCCTCTTACTTACAGTTATAACTCGCTTCACTTATCTTTTTCAAAGATCACCTTTGGGAAGGAAACCCAACTGATTTGTGTCATGGCCTTCCTATTTCAGAGGCTATATGATGCCATTGTAGAATCAGGTGCCATTTTGGGAGCAGCAATTATTCTTGAAATAATTCCAAATAGCCTCATCTTAATTTTGTTTTGCTTAAGATGGGATAGAGAAAATCTTGAACAGACATTCAATATGCTGTTATTCTATCATTACAATAAAGAGCATTTCTAGAATTTTTGCTATGCCTTGAAGGATTGACTAGAAACAATTCAAAATCTTCATATCAGTTCTTACATATTTGTAAAAGTAGGAAAATGTTATAATTCTTACATCTATCTTGCCAAGATTCATTTTACTTGGCCCTACTGTGGCATTATACCACCACTGTTTTCAGACTGTATGTTCAAATAGTCACTCCTAATTCAAGATGACAGTAAAACTGTTCTCCATACTAAAGGAAAAAAGTTTGCTGGGCAACCATGTAGTGGAGACCACAAGGAAAGGTATGACTATATGAATTAAGGTGTTGTCAGGGCCCACTTCAAAACCTTATCCTAAGAAAGCAGGAGCAGTTTCTTCCAAAAGGAATGTTTATTAGGAGAAGCTGATAGCAGGCATAATAGGCAGGATCTGAGGGTTTCCTGGTCAGATAGGTTAAAAGAGTCCCAAGCAAACCTCACCCTGATAGTTCATCTGGTCAGTTTGAATGGGCCAATCCTCAGGTGTTAAGTCTGCTGTAGGAAAGGAGCTGATAATGGAGTCCATTCCTATGCCAGAGGCACATTCTTTTTGCACCCCAAGGTAACATCAAAGGAGAGACAGTTCAAAAAACAAGTATGCAAGGATATATTGTAGCAAAGCAAGAAACAGCCCACAGAGCATTTCCCCCTCCCCCTCAGGCGAATGGCAGAACCCTCAGTAAGAAATAGAAAGATTTGAAATAATGTAAGAATGGGTTCTGACAGGTGTGTTTGGTCAGCTTCAAACCAAGTCTTATATAGCTTGTGCTCAATTGTCTACTATATTGGTCAGAGCTTGAATACTAAGGAGAAACCATGGCTTTACCACCACAGAGAGGACATTGGGGGCAATCATGTCAGTGCATCATTCTATTTTCCATTCCATGTTAAACACAAGAATTAATGTTGGCATCTGGAAAATGTATTCCCAACTTAAAAGATTAGTATCTCCTAATTCAAAAGAATCCATCTTATGTATTATGTATTATTTTTATAAGATATTTAATTCATAGCAAGAGGAAAAATTTAGATTGCTATATTCTAGTTGTCCAAATCTGAAGGATTTAGTATGCATATTATGCAAGTGATTTACTATTCATGTAAAAACATCCCTTTGTGTTTCCTTTTTTAATTATATTTTAGCTTTTTTTGTTTTTGCAATATGCTTGAGAGAACAAGTTCTTTATTTTCTCTGAAGAGACTGTAAATTTAAATTAGCCTGTATGATTTTTGATTGAGCCAGGTTTGTCATTAGTGTATTTTTTTGTTTGTTTTAGCTTAAGCCTTAAGCATAAATTTATCTTTTAGAACTGAATCTGGTACAATTCTAAAAGTTTTAGGTCCTATATTACTAAGTTAATCTTTGTAGAAATTATGAGATGGAAACAGTGGGCCATGTAGTCTAATACTGTTGAGATGTGCAAAATATTATGTGCTCAGAGCAGATACTTTCAGATGGTCTAGATATAGACTCAGAACTTTTATGTATCAGGTAGAAAGTTCTAGGTTGGCATACAATTGGAAAAAGATATACCCAGAAATCACCCAGTATGCATTTGTGATGACTGAAGAAATGAGGAATTGGGAGGGCAGTGGACTGGTTGCTTATGTTACCCTTGAATTGAAACACAGCATTAGTTAAGGAAAGATACAGGGAGAGATGGTGCTGGGAAAGTTACTGGATCAGAGGAACAAAGACCATTTGGAAGAGGAGGGAAAAGTGAGGAAAGACTCTCTAGCTTTGCCCTGGTATTCTATAAAAGCTGTCAAGATTTTCCCTGAAGCCAGAATCCAGACCTATCGAAATGGTGTGGGTTTAAGTTTGGCCAAACTGCAATTCATCTTTTTCAGTTCAAATTTCTGAAGTCTAAACAGATATAAAACCTTACTTAGAAAAATGTGTTTTTGTGTATAATATAAAATAATGTTACGAAGTTTATTTGTGGACTAGAACGGTGATGAAAGAGGTCCTTGAAGCAATAAGAAGGAATTTTTGTTTTTTCACTCTGAGCATCTACATCAAGGATTCTTTGTTTAATTATTTGAAGAAGTCTGTCAGGAACAAGTGATATTAAAAGTAGAGAACCACAAAAAGAAAAATCTTTAGGATTTTTTTTTTCTTCTTAAGAGGAAGCAAATTGGATGGGAACTGTGAGCTGGGCTAATATCTTGCTGGAGAAGAATAAATGAGTAGAATGGGGAACTTGTAACAGAATGCTAAAAATGGATTGAATACTTTCATAAGCTTATAACGGAATCAAACACTATACAATTTAGTATTACATATAGGACTGTTAGCTTATTTGGCCATTGCTTGATTGAAATATTATTTACTTCATGATTGTTAATTGCTGCTCATCTGGGTGTTGATTTTCAGGTTAAAATTGAGGGAGCTAGTCCATAAGTATTTTATTTGACTTGCAATGGAAAATCCCCACAAAACATTATAATCTTAGTAAGCACTCTAAATAAAGATGGCAGCTAATTTCTGTCATAAATGCTCATGAGGGAACAAATGAAAAATGATTTGCAAATAAATTAAAGTGACATAAAGGATTCCATGGGAATAACTAGATTACTTTTCAGGCTAGTTGAGAATATGATGTCTTAATCAAAAATTAAAAATATTGTCCTGCAGCTAATTTTTTCAATGGCTATATTTTTTTTCTTGAATACTTTATGTAGAGATACTTGGCTCGTGATTTGCTTATTGTGCTTAATAACATCTTATATGCTATCTAAAAGCAACTGTTATAAATAGATTAGGTATGCATCTTTTTGTCTCAAAATTTATATACATATTTCCCAAATTTAAAATGACATGGCTGCAAACACTAACAAAAAATCTACTTTTGCATAATTATATTCTAATAAAATTTTGAGTATGTGTGTAGACAAGCCTGTGAAACATATAGCACATAGGTTTTGTGCTACCTTCATATTGTCCTGCCAACTTTTTTTGAAATTCACCATTGCCAAATGTCACTGCTATAAACCTGAATGTCATACTGATTATATATTATATAATATATTATATTATATATTACCTCCAGACCTCACTGACACCAGCTGCACTGCTACTGCTGTATCACTAGGTGCTGAACTTTAGATTGCACAAATATTATTCCTTGCGGCCCACAATTCTTTTTAATTTATCAATGTAATTCTTTCTGTTACATGAGTTGGGCCAACCTGGAATATAACAATCCAACAGCACTTTTCCATTAAAAAAGCATATTCTTTAGCCTCTTTATAATAGTGTGCAGAATATTTTCAGTGCTACAAGTGCAAGATCGTATTTTTATATATAAAATCTAGGATATAGTTAAAATCCTTTTCTCATCCCATGCAGGTGAAACTGAACAGGAACTGGGACCTCCTCCCTCTGTAGATGAGGCAGCAAACACACTCATGACTCGTCTGGGCTTCCTCCTGGGAGAAAAAGTCACTGAGCTACAGGCAGGGAATCAGTATAACATGGAAGAGCAGGAAGACAATCAGGTGAGCTTAAAACTTTGTGAAGAATGATAATGTTCTCACTGTACTCTGTTTTAAGAAAACAAAATACTCCATGCTATGATTCAAATTTCATCTTGTATTAGATGTATGAAAATCATACATATTGGTGATTAACTAGAACTTGTCAGGCAAAAGCAACCAGAACAAGTCCATAAATTTAGAAGAATTGCCAGTCTGACTACATTCCCATGTAAACCAATAGATAAGGGCTTCAGCAGTCTGACAATGGCTCACGTTATTAGGACACTAGACTAATGATCAGCAGACTTGCGTTCGAGATCCAGTTGTTTGCCATGGGATGGGGTGAACTCCTGTCACACTCTCCAGCTCCTACTGACCCAGCAGTTTGAAAGCTGGTGGACCGCAAGTTATCATTTTGGTAAGCAATTTAATATATTTTATTAATTTTTTTAACAAAATCACCTTAATATTTGGTAAACAGCGTGTTGTCTGGGTTTACATTTACAAACAATCAATAACGATTAGTTTCTATAATTACGTAATCCACATAGTAACTTTCCTTGATTTTTTCTTCTTTCAATAATATTCTCTTTTATCAACCTTAAATTAGTACATTTCTTAGTATTTTAATAGATAACAATTGAATATAAACATTTTTCTAGTATTTCTACAAGCAACAACCACATCAATATGAAGCTTCTTTTCTAATTAATCATCTTAATCACCTTGTCATAGATCCTGTTTTTAAAGTTCTTATTTAAATTTGTTTTCCCCACAACGTTCAAAAACATTTTTACCTGTTAAGATTTTCTTAAGAGTTAATTATACTTAAGTATTTAAGTCTTTTTCCTCATACAAGCCATCCCAACAATTTTATATTTCTCATATCTTAAAACAAAAACAAAACAAAAAGAGAGAAGAAAAAAAAGAAGGAAATAATATATTACTTAAAAAACATGTCCCTCTTACGCTAAAATACATTTATGTCCCAAACTTTTTCTACTTTTTTTAACCATATTCCTTAATATGATCAAACAATGGTCTTAAACAATTTGTTGTTGTAAATTACTCATTCATTTGGCCATTAAACATTTCCCTTGTTGCTAATAATTTTTTTTTAGAAAGGGCAGCCCTCTAAGAAGGACAGCCCTCTAGCAGGTTAGTATAAGTAATCCTTGTTTTACTAATCATTTGCTCAAAGACCATCAAAATTGTGGCAAAGATAAATGAATGAAACTTGAGACTGTCCTTGAGATGCCAGTTATTGAAGTGCCTCCACAGTTATGAGATTATGATTTGGATGTTTGGTATCCAGGCTGCACTTATGGCAGTTACAGTGTCCCATGGCCACATGATCACCTTTTGCAATCTTGCCTGCTAGTTTCCCATAAGTAAAATCAATGGGGAAGATGACAGGGAATGTCACAAGTTGATCCGGTAAGTCTCCCTCACTTATCTAATAAAACATCTTTTCTCCAGAAATATGAGTAGTTCCAACCCTCTTTGCTTTTAAGAAGCAGGTAAAAATACACTGTTTCAGTGAACTTTTGGCCCATTTGAGCGAAAATTATTGTGAATGTTGTTATTTTGTTTCTTAAATTGAATTATTTTTGAATTATTGTACACTGGCCAGAATTTTTATGAGTTGAGGCAGCTTATAAATATTAATAGATTCACAAATTGTTTAAAATGTGCTATTCTAAAATAACCATTATCTTTATTTATTTTGTTGCAAATTAGAAGTAATTAAATATACCCACCATACTCAAAAGAATAAAATTATTTTGTTATATATAATAAATACATGGTCACCAGTCCAGCTTCATGTATTTTATTATACATTAGAACTCAATAAAAAATATATGATTTTAAAAGGTATTGGTCAGAAAAAAGTGTCTTAATGATACAGGTTTCATCTTGTGCTAAGTTTGTGTTTGTTATTGCTAAAATAATGCATTTTTCACATGTTCTGTATCTAAAGAGCAGAAAAATGATACTGTTTATAAGGAAATAAAAGAGTAAATCTATATATCAATTTTCCAGTAGTCTAACATGTTTGTGATTATATCAAGTGAATTCTTCACTATGTTAGTGAAACTTTATAAGCTTTTACTGATAGCTTTATTGTGATGTCTGTGTTCCTGCTTCCAATTTTCCAGACTTCAGCAGTGTCCCAGCGAATAAGTCCCTGTTCCACATTGACCAGCAGTACTGCTTCACCACCTGCCAGTAGCCCTTGTTCCACTCTCCCTCAAACTAGCGCTAAGGATGTTATAGCAAAGGACTGCAATTACGGAGCTGTCACAAGTCCTACATCTACTCTTGAAAGCAGGGATAGTGGCATCATAGGTGAGTCTTAGATATGCAGAAATTTATTTTAAAATTCAGCTATACAGTATTGGGTGTATATGTTATGCTGTATCCTGCAGTATGAGAGTTCTTGGTGCACAGAGCTTGGTTGCTTTCTTGCAGAAGTTTTATCACCCAAACTAGGTAACATCATCAGTGCTGACTTTGCCTATTTTGGGTAATGAAAAAACTGCAAAAAAATAAAATAAAAAATAAAGATAACTTGTCTGAAATCTTTCTACTTTGAATAAAGTTTTTTGGGGTATCATGTTTTAGAAGTTTTGTTAAGGACTGAAGCTGAGATTTTCTGTAAATGAATTATGCTACTGAGACTTAATACTTTGGAGAAAGAAATAATCTTTTTTTGGGTTAAGAATTGGTCAAATATGAAACCGTTCCTAAGATAGAATAAGGAACTATTCTTGTCACTAATAAACATTTTGTAAGGGCAAAAGTTGCCAGAGCCTTTTCCACATCCAAATTATACTGCTGATAGAAGGATGTCCATGAGGCCATTCAGATATAAATGGAGATAAATTCCAGTTTCCTGAGTTGTGAACCAAACAAGAAACAAATTAAATGAAAGTTCAAAATAAGAATTGTTTCCACTCATAACTGAGATGAAGGAACAGTGATGTAAAGGAACGCACAATGTAGAATGTTGAATGCCTCTCAAAAGCTCTGCCAATGCTGTCCTTTTCAAAGACACTCAGAAAGTTTAAACGGGCCAACATTGTTATGGTCCAATCTTGTGATGAGGGAGACAGGGAGAAAATGGAATCTGTAACATCAAATGATAGCAATCCTGTCATTGTTTGCATTCACTACTATCTTTGTCTTGATCAACACTTGTGTCTAAAATAAAGTACAATAATATTTTGCATACACAAACAGCACTTTTGATGCTGTTTCAAAGCTTTTCACCTGTTTTTCTTTTGAGGGCTATGAACATTAACTCAGCCACCTGAAGTCCAGTTTCCCCACTGAACTTTACAACCACAAGCAGTAGCTTATTTTCTGGGTCATCAGTCAACGGCATGAAAAAAGGGGATTAACTTTTTTTTTCTTTCTGGGTGGGCTGTGTGATCTCCTGCTGACCATACCATTATTCTTTGCTGTGTCTATATGTGCTATATGTATAATTTTGGAATCAGCTATCATGTTTGACTCTGCTAAGTCAATATCATCATGATTCATGCATAATAATAAGAGAGTATGGCAGTGGGATTGAGGGAATGTGGGAAGCCATTTCAGGGAGGATGGATGAATCTCACTGCAATTCAGATCATGTAGAAAACAAAAAACCTAATGAAGTTTAATCCAGGGTGAGTTTTATTCAGTGGCTACACAGAAACTAAAAAAGAACTCATCTACATATTGTACCCTTTCCCCCTTCTCATCATGCACAAAGGACAGCTTTCATTGAAGTATTACAGTATTTCTGAGAACTGAAATCACTTTATGTATTTAAAGTTCTATTCATAGGAATATAACCTCAGAAGAAAATAAATGGTTGTTTCAGTTATATATGTTCTTATTATTGATCTGCTGATTTGTTTGGGATAAATAAAATGGATTCCTTAAATCACTGATTTGTGTTTTACATGATTCAGAAATCTTTCGAATTATCTTCTTCCATTGGCTTATAGGTAATGTTGACTTACAACCATTCATTTGGTGAACATTCAAAGTTACAACTGCATTGAAAAAAGTCTTACAACCAGTCCTTGCATTTACAACTGTTGCAACATCCACATGGCCACATAATCAAAATTTGGGCATCTGACATCCCAAAATTATGTGATCACCATTTGTGACCTTCTCAGCTGGCTTCCCTCCAAAAAATTAATGGGCAAATCCAGATTTACATAACAATTGCATGATTTGCTTAACAAACATAGCAAAAAAGAAAGTCATAAAATCAGACCTGACTCACTTAATCACCTTGCTTAGCAATGGAAATTCTGGTCTCAATTGTGGTTGCAAGTCGAGGAATACCTGTATGCATATCCCATAAGATACAGTAGAGAAATTTATCCTTCAAGTCCCATCCTTGAAGGCTTGTTATCAGGGACCATGATGGTATACCTTTTCTGTAACTGTCCCTCTATTTTGGGATTGTGTTCCATCTGAAATCAGGTTAGCATCAATCAAGCATCAAGACCAGGCTATAATAATCAAAATTGTACAATTGAGCATATTGACCTGCTGCACTCTCACATTTGATAGTTTCCCTCCTCCCCACCAGTAGATATTGCTGTGGATGGAAGAAAAAGGATGGCAATATTGCTGACAAATACTGCCCCAAGTATATGACATTACAAAGGATGCCTGCTGAGGTGGTGTATCTGGGGATCTGCTGGGGGCAACAAGATTCACTATGCTGAATGAGTGGTTATCCATGTTATCGTTTGTGATAGCCTTTCAAGCAAAGTCCGGTTTGCCTCTTGATGGTTGATTCAACTACTATGCAGGCATCTTGCTCTGCTTTCTTGCAGTTTAATTGGCAGAATGGGCTGTTGAGTGCTGCTAGGAAAGATATTGTGATGTTGGCTAAATATACTGTAGTGATTTTTAAAAATTTGTGAATACTTTTAAATTTTAAACATTCATTCATAAATATTACCTAAAATAGGCTCTGTTCTCCATACAAGCCCTAAAACTGAATACAGTAAAGAGAACCTAATTAAACAAATGTCAAAAACATTATATTTCTTCATTTATTTATTGAGGAAAATGATTCAGAGTTACATATAATGTAAGCTCAGTTAAGAAAATAAATCACTGATCGATAGAAAATAATTATCCAGTCTCCAAAATATACTGCAGAATGTTTGAGAAAATGAATACAGTTCCTACCTGTGTTACCTTAAATCAGGGGTCCCCAACCTATGAGCTATGGCCTGGTACCGGTCCATGGCCTTTTGGCTGCCAGGCCACGGGAATGGCTGGCTGGTTCATGATAATGCTCACCTGCATACCACTAGACGCACCCAAGAACTTTTGAAGCAGTTCCATTGGAATGTTTTTGATCACTCCCCCATATAGCCTAGATTTGGGGCACCGAGTGACTATTACTAAGGAATTTCAAAACTAGTAAAACATTATGACAAGTGCCTCAATTTGAGTGGCGATTATGTCGAAAAGTAATGTAATGTTGTAGTTTTCTAATGTGTATTTAAAAAGTTCTGTATCTGCGAGTATCTGTCATTAATAACCAAATAAACAGAGGTTTATTTCCGAATTGCCCTCATAAATTCTGTAAACCAGAAGTAGTTTAAAGTCCAAAATGTTGAATTGCTTTTGAATTTAGCTGCTATAGTCTACACAGGACTTTTTGAAGCTCAAATCTGAAGCATTATCGTCCTGCTAATTAATAAGATAGAAATATATTTTCTGTATAATTGGTGTATTAAAAGTGAGAAAAAATATTGGAAAAGCTAAAGTTAAACATGAGGAAAAATGTGTGTTTTGAAATTTAATATTTGGAAAAATTGAAAAGTTCTGTTCTACCTCCATTTGAAAAAAAATTCTTTTGAGGTAAAGCTTGGTTTAAAAAGGAAAATTTTGTTTTTGCAGGTTAAAATGAGAAATATCTTATATTGAGGTCATGAAAAATATTAAATAAAGGTGTTTGAAATCTATGTCAGATAATAACTGGCTTATTGTCAGTTATTATATCTGTTATTGCTACATATAACAATTGATAGTATGTTTTCCCAATATAATTGAAATCATTGCCTGGAACCATGCAGTTTTCCTTTTCTCTTTTTTTTTATTAAAAAGTTTTACAAAAATTACAAAATATACCCCAACCCCCCCCCCAACCCCTACCCCTCCCCCACTTCCCAGACCTGAATAGAGGGTAACAAATATAATAATCATAATCTAAGTAACATTAACCAACTATATAGATAAACAAATATAACGTGCTTTAACTCCCCTTTAACACAGAATAAACAATTTGCAAATAAACTTGATCATATAAACAAATTAAAATCCTAATTCATAAATAATACAATATAATAAAAACTACCATATCTCCAACATTTGGGCTGCAAATTAGGATACATACAGGACAACTTTTGGGGGTCCAAATGCCACCTATAAAACATTTTATAAAAATTTTCTCTCAAATTTTGAGCTTGAGTAAATTTTACATTTCTAACCCAAATTGTCTCCCATGTGTCCAATAGAATCGGCTCTTGAATATTTTGTGCCCATTTTACCATACAATCTTTAACTAACTCCGTTTCAGAATCCAATTCTATTAAAACATTATAAATTCTCTTTATATGGGCTCGAGATTGATCTTTAATCTGTTTTACCAAATTCACATCATCTAAAGTAATACCAACCTTTTGATCTAGACTCCACCTAACTAGCAATTGATTATACTGAAACCAAGAGTAAACAATATTTTCTTGCTTCAACTCAGTTAAAGATTTTAATTGCCAATCCTTCCCTACCAGATTGAGTAATTCCTTATAAGAAATCCAATCCAGATTCACACCTAGATACCCCTTTTATCACGTGCCCACAGTTTTCCTTTTCTCAAATGACACAATTTTTTTTTTGTCTCCTGTTACTCCACATCTTTTCAGTCACTATTCCTCTGAGATCTTTCCTATATGTCAGGCTTCTGATTCCACTGTAGAGGCAATTATGGTTGATTTTCCCTTATATAATGCAATGGCAAATCACAATATTCATAAAAATCCACTAGATAGACTGTTACAATATTAGAAGGAAGGATATAAAGCAAATATTCTTCATTCAAAGTTCTATTAATTAATTAAAAAGTCAGATTGTAATTCTAGCTAGGAGTTTTTTGAGAATTAACTTGATCTATGAGAGAAGTGTGATCTAAGTATGAGAGAGCTGTAACAGTTAAAAGTATTAATAATGATTTTATTTTAAAGAAACCAGTATATATAATGTATGTTTTAGAAAGTATGTTTTTTTATCAAATGGCCTATTTGTGGAGATAAGAAAAAACTGATCTAGAATAAGCTGGGTCTTTATAAACAGTTAATTTATTAAAATATAAATAATTAAATAAAAATATAAAAATTATTATATTTGTTCACCTGTAAGGAAGTACAAATACCACCATACCTGTACATTTGAATATCTCAAGGATCCTAATAAATACTGTCGAATTAGCTAGTAGGATTCCTTCTACTATATGAGGAAAGGAAATGTAATATGTTTACATGATGGGAATGCAGGGAAAGGGAAATGTAATATGTTTACATGATGGGAATGCAGGGGGCTCTGCCTTATGTGTCTTGAAAAACCAGTTTTAACAAAGAACCAAGACATTTCCGATTTCTCTTATATTATTTGTTGCATTTGGATGGTGCAATTGCTACATATTGGGGTTTTTGGGTTTTCATATTTACAGTATTCATGTACTATCATGATGTTGCATTTGTAATCTGCAGTATAAATACACAGTTTCAACTCTTCCATAATATTGGTGTTTGATTTTACTTGGTGGAATAAATGCTATATATTGTATTATATATTTTTGAATTTGTTATATTCATGCTTTAATAATGCAAATCACAATTAGCTTGGGCAAGAGTTTACCATGAAATTGAACATATAATTTGTACCTGAATGTAAGGGGTATTTGAGAAAGAATATAGGATATATAATTAGCTGCTGCACCTTCTAAATTACTTCTTGGTTGGCCTTTTCACTCACCAGATTCCCAGGTTAATATGGAAATCATTAATAGAGAATAGAGACAAGAAGTAGCAGTGAATATATTCGTACAGTTACAGACCATCTTAAAAAAAAAAATCCATAGTATTAAACCTTAACAGTCATAATCTATCATCTGCAAAGTCACAAAAATGAAATCTTTTTTTGTTATTCTTTGTCTTTCATTGTTTGTTTCAGCAACATTGACAAGTTATTCTGAAAATGTGGATCGTGCTAAGTACGGAGGGGAAAGCAGCAAGGAATTAGGATCTGGAGGAAACCTGAAGCCTTGGCAATCTCAAAAATCCAGTATAGATTCCTGTTTATATAGAGTGGATGAAAACATGACAGCTTCTACGTACAGTTTGAATAAGATCCCTGACCGGAATCTAGAGACTGTTTTATCCCAGTCAGTACAATCCATTCCACTTTATCTCATGCCACGGCCCAATTCTGTAGCAGGTAAGACTCTCATCCAGCAAGTTGCAATTAATTTTCTTTGTAAAATTGTTGGACAAATTATTCAAGTATAATTATATTTTATATTTACATTTTATAAGTTATTCTAACTTATAGAATAACAAAGCATTTTTATTGCTTGTTTCGGAAGTTTTGTTTGTCCTTCTTTGAGGGAGATGGGCATTTTAGAAATATGATTGATTCATTAATTAATAAAAGCAAAACAAAAGCTCCGTTGCTGGTAATATCAGAACTATTTGGATAACACAATGCTTGGCAATGCTTGATATTACAATCCATAAAAGCTTCAGGTGGCAGCCATATAAGCCTGTAAAGTTTATGTTAGTGATAAGAGAGACACTCGTAATTATCTGTTTTAGAATTTAAACTTGGTGATCTTGTGAAAAAATTGAAACCAATTGTTATTTCTCTGATAGTTATGCTACTGTCTGGAATTCACTTCATTTTTTTAAAATAATTTTATTAATGTTTACAAAGTTAAAAAATTAATATAAGCTAAGAAAAATTGTAAAAGTAAAGTAAAGAGTAAAGAGAGAAAAATAGTTTTTAAAAGATATATAAAGAAATATCCCATCTCCTCCCAGACAAGTATAAAGAATTTCAGGAATTTAATGCCTTTTTTGGTATTTCAAGAAAAAAAGAAAAAAAATAGCTTCTTCTTATATCTCATCTCTGATCAATAAGCAAATTATAAACACACATCATTCAATCCTAATCAGCAAAAGTCAGTTAACAGTTACCTGAATTAGTATTCTGTACACACACAAACACACACACACAGAGAAAGAGATAGAGGGAGGGAACAAGCAATAATTGGAAGAGGGAGCTCCAATCTGAAATAAGGAACAATTTCCTGACAGTGAGAATTATTAATCAATTGAACAGCTTGCCAATTAGAACCAGAGTGCTCCATCCCAGGAAGTTTTCAAGAAAAATTGGACAACCATTTGTCTGGGATAGAGTCACCTCTGGCAAGATGGACAACATTCAAATTTGATATAAATAAAAATAAAAAAACACTTCTGACTTATGCGGGGGCTTGGATTAAAAAACCTCCAAGGTCTCCTTCAGCCTTATGAGTCTATTATAATTTAGTAAAATGAATCCATTTTATATTCCAACATCACTTTCTCTTGAAAAATAAAGCAAATAGAAGCAAAAGAAATCTTTCCCCATTTATAAACAAATCTTTAAAGTCTTGTCATTCAGTCCTGGTCAAACAAAAAAAGTTCCATTAGGAGCTACTAGAAACCACAACATACATATTTTAAACCTGGTCAAATAGTTCTACTATATTTGTTTGGTTTATTTTTAAAAAGCTTAATTTTAATCTCTTCAAGTAATGTTTTACAAGTTGATTTGTCATTTTCTCTTTGTTTCCTCTCAGAAACAATTTCACTTGTTTCATGTCCCTTTTGTAAATACAATTTATTATTTGTATGTCTCTTTTAGTTATCAAGGCATCAGCCGGTTTCATTTGTAAATACATTATGACATTTTTTACATATCTCTCTTGTAATCTAATGTTTTTAAACCCATTTTCAGATGCACAGCAACTTTTTTCCATATCACATTTGTAGTCTGACTTTTTTTTTAAAAAAAATCCATTTTCAAATTTATATTCAAGTCAACCTCAGTCTCTATTTTGTCCAATAAAATCTGTTCCTTTTCTATAGCCTCTGTTAACCCTATTATTGTGACAGACAAGCTTGAAATTACGTTCTGAGTACATTGTTCTCAAACAATAGTCAAATTATATTGTTCCACTGTATTAATGGATCTCTTCTTTAATTGTAATTCCTAGTTATCTTTAGTTATCTCTAGTCAACTTTCAAAGTTTTCTCTTATTGTATATTTATTTTCCAATCTGCAAAACTTTCAGAGGATTTCTTACAGTTAATTTCAAAATCTTCATATATGCTTTTATAAAAAAATTAAACAACCTGCGGGAAATATTCTAGTAGTCTCATTTTGCTGTTCTCCAAACATTAAAAATTATTATTTTTTTCTCTAATCCTTAAACTTACATGAAAATTCTTTCATCCAGAGTAAATTAAATTTGCCCTTCAGAAGGTTTTTAACAATCAAAAAATCAATAACAAGCAAATTTCATTGGGATATTGCATGAACCCAATGTCTCAATGAACACCCCAAAGCATGCCTTAATTGGGATGATTTTCCCCTGCCTCCCACAAGTCTCACACCTATTGGAGATTACTATTTTACATTCTCATCGTGAGGAGCCTCTATATGGAACAAAAGTGTGGGTGATCCTATTGCTTTCCTTGATCTGGAGATGAGTTCCAAGGAACCAATTTGTTTGCGGGTTCCTCTTTCTGCTTTGGCCATCAGCTCCACTCTTCAGTCTTCCATTGCTTCCCCAGAAATCAGCCTATACTTCAGTTTACAACAAAAACATCATGAATTAAATGCCACCCTCCTTTCATTCTGTAAGTTTTGGAACATAGACAAAGCTGCAAGACAGTGACTGGCCTAAACATTTCCTCAATGCTATTAACATTAAATAATTCCAAAACAACATTAAAAAGTTACTGTTGAGCAGTGCTTTTCAAAGTTTTTCCCTCATTACCAAAGCTGCTTATCAGAAAAGTACTTTTTATTGCTTATCAGAAAGTCTTCATTTAAATGACCCTGTTATGATTGGATGATGGTTTTGTGTGTCATTTCCCAAAGAAAAATCACAATATTAATTTTGAAAAATTTACCTAGGTTGGGAAGCGCTATGTTAGAGGTTTAGAAAATTTTGAAATGATTTTTGGCACCTGATCATTTAAACTTTTCTCTCATTATTTCAATATGGGAACACTGGGTGAGTTTATGGAATCAGAAACTGAAATATAAATGGAAATTCTCTTTAGTTTAGTTTTAGAGAAGCATGCTCAATTTTTCCTTTATAGTATAGGTAGCTCTTTTATTAATATAGCATATTAATAATTGTTTATATATTGTTTAATACAAGTAATCTTTGACTTGTGATTACAGTTGATATCAGAACTTCTATAGCTAGGAATGCAGCTGTTAAGTGACTTGTGCTCAATATTACAACCTGCTTTGCTCTGATCATTAAGCAAATCCAGCTTCCATCATTGACTTTGCTTGTTGGAAGTACCCTGGGAAAGTCAGAAATAGCAATCATGTAACCTGGGATATTGTAAATACATGCTGGTTGCCAAGTGCCCAAATTTTAATCATGTGAGGGGGCTGCAATGGTTGTAAATGTAAGGATTGGTTGTAAGTCACTTTTTCAGGGCGTAACTTCAAACAATTCTTGAATTGAATTGAAATGAATACTTTATTTGGCCTAGTGTGATTAGACACACAAGGAATTTGTTGTCCAATTCAAAAGTACTCATGTACATGCAAAGCAAAATAACAAACTAGAAGTAGAAAATACAAAGATCTACAAACAGAAATAGAATGACTGTGGCAAAAGCAAGCAAAGGTAATACCAATAGTAATAAGCGTCTTGAGTTCAATCCCAGAGCAACTGGAGCATCATTGGAATTGACACATTCACCATCAGTCAATTACAAAAGGCAGCTTTACTCAGAACAGCTTACATCCTGTGGCAAAATCTGTAACACCATAAAACATCTGTATCTGCCTATCCTAGGTCCTTGGAAAGGACTCGATAGGTAGAAAAAAAATGCCAAATTCAGTCTGAACATCTGACAGACTGTGTTATGAGTTATAACAACAGGAATAACAACAACAATAATACCAAAAAAGGGGGAGCAAAGAAGATAATAAGGAGAAATAATAATACTACAGCCATACTACATGGGTTAATAGATGTTGGACTGAGAGAATTAAATATTCAGCAGAGTGATGGCATGAAAGAAGAACCTGTCTCTGTCTCTAGTTGTTTGGCATACAATACCTTATAGCACTGTCCCAAGGGAAAAATTTGAAACAGTTTATGTCCAGGATGTGAGGGGTTTTCAGATATTATCTCAGCCCTCCTGAAGCACGGAATAACAGATCTTGTATGGAAGGCAGACTAGTTGCAGTTGTTCTTTCTGCAGTCTTAACTGTGTGTTGGAGTCTGTCCCTATCCTATCTGGTTGCTGTACCAAACCAGACATATGTATAGTTGCTATACAAACCATTTATATAAGTACAAATAACAAACTCAATAACTCCTCTGTAAATTCCTCTGTATCAACAGGTCCTGAGGCAGTCTTCCTGAGCTGAGGCAGGAAGAACATTCTTTGTTGTTCCTTTTTAATGATGGTTTTAATGTTGAGTGTCCATTTCAAGTTGTGGGAGATTAAAGAACCCCAAACCTTGAAGGACACTATTGCTGATACTATGCTGTTGAATATAGTAAGAGATAGTAAAATAAAAGAACTCCTCCTAAAATTCACTGTCATCTCTACTGTTTTATACATGTTCAGCTCCAGATTGTTCCATCTGCATGGAATAGAATAGAATAGAATAGAATAGAATAGAATAGAATAGAATAGAATAGAATAGAATAGAATAGAATAGAATAGAATAGAAACTTTATTGTCACTTTAAATGTATACTAATCAGCATGCATTAAAAATGAAATTTCATTGCATTCAGCTTTCAAAAAATACCATTATGCATACAAATATGACACAGAGAAACATCTCTGTATAGTTCAAGTGTGTGTGTGTGTGTGTGTGTGTGTGTGTGTGTGTGTGTGTGTGTGTATAAATCCTGCGAATTTACAAGATGGATGGCAAAAGGAACAAAGTTGTTGCATAATCTAGTAGTTCTGCTATAAATATTTCAAAACCTCCTCCCAGAGGGGAACAACAGAAAGAGATCATGAAGTGGGTATGTGGGGTCTCTAACAATGTTTTGAGCTCTAAGAACATAGTGCTTATAAGCAGTGTCCTGAATAAAGGGAAGCAATATATATAATCTTCTCAGCTGTCCTTACTACTCCCTATATGGACCTTCTATCTGAGGCTCTGCTACCACCAAACCAAACAAGATACAGTTTGTTAAAATGCTCTGAATTGTGCCTGTGTAAAAAGTGGCGAGGACAGGAGAAAGATATGCTCTCCTCATCCAAGAAATACAAATGCCGATTTGTACATTTTACTAAAGATAATGTATGAAGAGATGAAGTCAGATTGTTAGTTATCTGCACCCCTAGGTACTTAATACTATTGACCAACTCCACAGCTGCAGCCTTGATACAAAGTGAAGTATGACGACTTCCAGTTTTGCGTCATAGCAAAATGGACGCAGGAAGGCAGGGCTCTGCCTTCTGTGCCCAATTTCGCCCCGGAGGCCCAGAAAAGAGCCTAAAGTCACCCCGAAGAGGCAATGAAGAAGGAGGAGTGTCTTGTTGATCATGGAGAGATGGCGGTCTTTCCGTTTCATCCAAAGAAAGCCCTCTAAACTGGCAGGCGAAAGACCGGCCACACCTCTGTGGCCAGCCATTAGCTGCTAACAACCAAAGAACAAAAGCTTCAATTAGCACATTGTAAAGAGCATGGAACTGGGTGAGAATATTGATCCTTTCTTTATTATTTTACAATTCAGTTTCTTGGGAAAGGCTCCCAAGAAGCTAAAAACCTCCGTATGTGAAGTGGCATTTTAAATTTTTTATGGAGGACAGAAATAGACAGTACTGAAATGAAAGTTATACAAAGCTACAGTTTTGATAAAATTGAGAACTATGATAATAGTTAAGATTTTCTCTTTGGAAAAAAATCATTGAGGTGAAATATAAGAAAGTGGAGGATGACTATGCCAGCTCTTTCTAAAATCAACAATGATCTCCTTTGTTTTATTAACATTCAAAACCATTTTATTGCATCAGTCCACAAAAGCCTTCACCTCTTTCCTATAAGCATCTTCATTATCATCCCAGATAGGACCCACCACTGCCGTATCATCTGCATACTTCACAATAAGATTCATAGCAGACTTAGCATAGCAATCATGGGTCATAAGGTGAACAGTATCAGACTCAAAACAGCCCTGTGGGGAACCCGTACTCAAAAAGATGGAATTGGAAACTTTTCTTCCAACTTGAACAACATGGCCACTTATCCAACCTCCCATCTATATGCAGACTCATGACCATATCAAATAAGGCCAATGGCCTTTGTATGATCTGCAAACTTCAGAACTTTTAACAGAGGGTTCTCTTGAGGTGAATCATTAGTATATAGAGAAAAGAGCAACAGAAAGAGCACCCAGCCCCGAGGGGCATCTGTATTAACTACCTATTAGATGTGATTTTTCCCTAGCCTCACCTGTTGCTTCTATCTGTCAAAAAGCTGATTATCCAGCTACAAATATGAGCAGGTATAATGAGCAGATACAAGCAGTGGATGGTCATAAATCAAAGACTACCTGTACTAATGGAATGTAATCAGGGCTACAGTAAAATTTTATAGTAAGCATTAAATGTTATTTTTAAAATACTAAGCATATCTGAGCTTTGAAAAATCTTACAGTGGAGCAAAATATATTCAAATTTAGTTCCCATTTATTATCTGTGTTATTGTTTTCTGTAATAAATTGATATTTTTTCTGGTGAAAGGTATTAAAACAGAATGTTTAAAATTTTTGAATTAAGATCAAAAATCATACACAGTTAAGCTTCCTTTTTTCCCCTTTTCTTCAGATTATTTGACCAGGTTTTAATTCTCTTGATTTTAAACATTTGTCTAAAATGAATGAATATAAATGTTTTAAGCAAATTAATGTGAGACTGTAATTTACAAAATTTTACAAATACGAGTTGCATAATTAGAGCTATATTCAAAATAAAGGCAATATGTAGTATCAGATTTAAGAGGCTTAATTTATATTTTATATAACGTATTTATGAATATATCTGATTACTTTTTCTGGACAGCCACCAGCTCAGCCCACTTGGAAGATCTAGCTTACTTAGATGAACAGAGGCATGCTCCTCTGCGAACATCTCTCAGGATGCCTCGTCAGAGTATGGCTGGTACTCGCACACAACAGGATCTAAGAGGTAAAGATCATGTGATTCATGTATATTCAAGCTTTCATCAACTCCTTTACCAATACAGATTTTAAAAACTTTTGAAAATACAGGTAATCTCTGAGTTATGAGCGTTCACTTAGTGCTTGTTTGAAGTTACATGATAAGTGCCCCCTAGTGTTTACGAGCAACTCCCAAAATTACGAATATTGCAGCGCCACAGCAGTTGTTCACCCTATTCCACCACCAGCACCATCCTGCTCCCCATAACTGCTTCCCCCTCCCATTCTGCTGCACCGGACTCACTTAGCTTGCAAAAATCATCTTTGCCGCTGTTTCCCCTCTCTGCTGTTTTGAGGGAGAGGAGAGTCAATGGAAACTCCTGTGTATCGCGCGAATTCAGGCACCCATCCTCTTTTGCAGAGAATGGGTGCCTGAACTCTAGTGAGATCACAGACCTCAGAAACTTTGATATTCGGGGTGAAAAGTGTTTGAATATACCTATATATTCCCCTGCCCAACTCCTTTCCGCCACCGCCAGAACACTTTTTAACCAGAGGGAGACCTTGGGGAGGTTGAAAGTTCCTTCTGGCTACAGATGGGGTGTTTTGAAATGGAGCGTTTCAAAGTGCCCCATTTTCAGCCAAACGAAGCTTCCAGTCTCCCCAAAGTCTCCGTATAGCTAAAAAGTGTTTGAGCATCTATCGAGTGCTTTGAAACGCTCCATTTTGCTTTTCAGTCACTAAACCCCCCATGGCCTTCCCCAACCTGAGATACCTCATGTGCACTTAACGAACTGTGCATTCGCCCACACATTGTATTAGCGAATGAGTGAGCAAAAGCAGGAAGTGATCTCGTTCAAAGTATAAGATTCACTCCCACAAATTCTTCAGTTATGAATGGAATGGGCAGGCTCCATTACATTCATAACTCAAGGACCACCTGTATGTTCTTCCACTGTGTAACAGCAATCTCCTCACCAAATCTGTCTTTTTTTAATTGAAAAGTTTTATACAATATACATCCCAAGACCCACCCACCCCTACCCCCCCTACCTCACTTCCCAGAGCTGAGTACAGGGTTACAAATAAACAATCAAACTCTAAAAAACATTGCCCAACTATACAAGTAACCAAGTCCATAACACACTTTAACTCCCTTATAACATAAATATAAACAAATTAAAAATAAACATAATAATATAAACAAATCAATATTGTTAAACCATACTAAAACTAATAAAAATTAAAAAAGAAACTATTAATAATACTCTAAAGTTTACTCATAGGCTAAATGAAACTTTTTAATCCCATATTTATTCTGAATATAATCTATCCATCTTCTCCAAACCAAAATACATCTTTCTTGTGAGTGATCCTTCAAGTAAGCAGAAATTTTTGCCATTTCTTCTAAATTTGACACCTTAAGCGTCCAGTCTTCTATAGTAGGCAAAGAATCTTTCTTCCAATATTGCCCTACTAATAACCTTGCAGTTGTTATAAAATTCAACATCAAATTAGTTTTTTAGCATCACAATCTACAATAACACCCAACAAAAATAGTTGTGGCGTGAACTTTATCTTTCTTTTAAAAATCTTTTGAATGCCCCACCAAATCTTAATCCAAAAAGCTTTTATATTTCTACAAGCCCATCAAATATGAAAATAGGTTGCATCCAAGCTACCACATCTCCAGCATTTGGACTGTAAATTGGGATACATATAAGACAGCTTTTTGGGATCCAAATGCCACCTATAAAATATTTTATAACAATTTTCTCTTAAATTTTGAACCTGAGTAAATTTTACATTTCTAACCCAAATTACCTCCCATGTATCCAATGAAATCGGTTCTTGAATATTTTGAGCCCATTTTATCATACAATCTTTAACTAAATCCATTTCAGAATCCAATTCTATTAAAACATTATAAATTCTCTTTATGTGGGCTCGATTTGAATCTTTAATCTGTTCTACCAAATTCTCATCCCCTAAAGTAATACCAACCTTTTGATCTAAGCTCCACCTAACCAACAATTGGTTATACTGAAACCAAGACTGCACAATATTTTCTTGCTTTAACTCAACTAAAGATTTTAATTGCCATCAAATCTGTCTTAATAAATACTGAAAACTGAATTTAGCATCCTTAATATAAAACATAAACACTATTATAGATCCACTCTCCAGAAGGCATTTGGGGAAGAAATGGGATGGACTTATGTCTAAGATATATGTGCTGTATGGGAAAAGGAAGTTATGGGGTTTGTTCTTCTTTATGGTGCATGATTTTAAATCCCATTACTTAGCAAATTGAAAGTGGTTCAGAGTCTTCAGATTAGAATGACAAGAAATGTGAGTAAATAAAAGCATAATAAATAGTAAGCAGGATACTAAAGTGGAGATACTGAGACTGAAGGATGAAATGGAATCCTTCATACTCTAACTCACAGCTACTATGACTTGGTTTCCAATTTCCTTTGCTGCTTTCTGAACTAGGTAGGAACTAAAACAATGGTGGGATTTAAATATGTGAACAACCAGTTCTCTGTGTGGATGCCGCTTCCAGAAGTCCATTCTGGACCTGGGCAACAAAAATTAGCTACTGGTTCTGCTGAAAAGGTGCGAACTGGCTGAATCCCACCATTGAACTAAAAGGATATAAGAAGGTTAGGACTAGGTTGGGGCAGTAGTGTTTTTCTTTTTAGAGACACAACTACTAATTGTTCTGAGATGAGAGAATACTCTTGTTCTGCAGGGAGATTCCTAGAAGAATTAATCCTCGATAAGCCTTTCTGGTAGGGTAAGATATTTATGATTCGTTGCACAGTCAACCAGACTGGGTTTGGTACTTTTGTCTCCTTATGAATCCTTTCCAAAGACATGGGATAGACAGATCTTGATATTTAATGACGTTACAGATATTCAGAGGATGGAAGCTGTTTTGAATAAAAGCTGTTCTTTTGCAATTGACTGATGGTGAATTTGTTAGTACCGATGATGTTCAAGAGATGCTCCAGTTGTTTTGGGATTGCACCCAAATTACTATTGGATACTACCTTTGCTTGCTTTTGCCACAATCGTTCTATGTCTTTGTATTTTGTTATTTTCTTCTTTGTTATCTTCTTCTATTTTGCTAGTTCCAGGTGCTGCCATATCCACTACCCAGACATTTTTGTATTTTTCATCAACAATTGTTAAGGCTGGTGTGATATGTGACAGGTACATAGGCGTCACTTACTGTTTTTGTATGCATTAGTTCTTAAGACTTAGTCTTGTGCAGCCAGTCTAGGTCTATTTCTTCAACTTTCCTGCTTTTAACCATTGCCAGCTCTTGTTATTATCTGCTTTCCCTGCTATTTTTTAATGTACTTGCCATGTGGTGCTTTGTCTTACCATGCCTCCATTCTATTCTTCATTTGCTCTTTCTTGTAGGCCAGTTTAGTCTTTCCAGTAGTCAGTAAGCCTTCCTAGTATACTAACTTCAGTGTATCTTCTTCACTGTCCTGTTAGATATTCTTCCTAAGCACTTTTAGTCTTCAACTATCTGATGTACTTGCAACATTCCACATCCACCTATTAGCCTTGGTAGGTAGTCTGTCAGTGTTGCTACAAGGATGAAGAGCATGATTCATTGTCCTTATTTTTCTGGTCTTCCTATCCATTGCTTTTAGTTCAACATGAGTCCATTCCACTATTTCAGCTGTGTATCTAATGACTGGAATTGCCCAGGTGTTGATCGCCTTGATGGTATTTCCTCCATTGAGTTTGAACTTTAAAATCTTCTTCATTCTCTTGATGTATTCACCTCTAATCTTTTTCTTGACTTCAGTGTGCTTGTCAGCTTAGAAGATACCCAGGTATTTGTAGTAATCATCTTCATCCAGACTCTTTTTTTTAAAGTTTTTTATTTATAATACAATTAAAAAAAGAAAACATTGGACATGACGTAACCTTCCAGTTTGAACATTTCTATCAAATTATTTCTCTTCTTACATTCAATTCTTTATCTCTGTAAATACATATTAATTTTTTATACAATACTTAATACATTTTGTCTATTTGCTAACCTAAGATTATGTATAGTTCCATCTTGCGCTAATCTATAACCCCAATAGTCCTCCTCGATTCCCACCAATAGTAGAATTTATCCCAGATTTCAAAATATTCTGATCCACTTTTATCTTTCAGTTCCATCGTAAGCCTGTCCATTTCAGCACAAGATAGTATTTTATGCTGTATCTCTTCATCTGAAGGAGTTTCTTTGTTCTTCCATTTTTGCGCAAACGCCAGTCTAGCAGCGGTCAAAATGTGCAACATCAAGTAGACTATCCCCTTATCATATTTCTCTGTGGTTATGCCCAGTAAAAAGAGTTCAGGTTTTAGCTCTATCTCCAACATTAATATTTCTTTCAGCTATTTTCTTATCCTATTCCAATAATCAGAGGCTTTAGGACAGTGGTTCTCAACCTTTCTAATGCCGCGACCCCATAATACAGTTCCCCAACCACTTATACATCATCTCCTCTCACTCTTCTGGGCTTCTTTGTACTTCCTTCCTTGGAAATCCTCCAGCAGGTTCTTTTGCCCCGGATCACTTCCACTGAATCATCAGGATTGCTGTCAGGATTACTTTTCACTGGATCTATCACATCTCTGTCCTGCTGTTTCGCTGCTGTCTTTCAGCCAGCTGTCGGCTGTCATTTCTTCGTGGCCACCATTATGGCCGGCTCCTTCCTCCGCTCGACTTTTCCAAGGTTTCTCCTGAGTTCGTTGGTCCTGGCCGCCACCAGATATCGCTCCTCAGGACAGTTGCTAGTAAATAGGTAATTGGCCTATAGTTTCCTAGTGTTGTCCCTTTTGATGGATCTTTCATTAGCCAGATGTTGGCCACTCCTCAATTTCACTTTCTTGTAGTATGTTGTCAAACTGCTTAGGAACAAGTGAGTATAGACCAGTTAGAAGTTTCAACCAAAAACCATGCAGTTCATTTTCAGTTCTAATAAGTTCAAAATTTCCATGTATCTAGGC